ACTGCATGCTTTTTTAAAATCATCCAGGAACAATTTTAACAGCAGGTTTCAGTGCATCAGAAAGTTTCTCAAGAGGGAGGCTCACGAGCGTAGAGAGAGGCCCCAATATTGAATGCCTTGGTGGGGATGAATTCGCCCTTTACCACTAAGGCGCCTCACTACAAGGGTTGCCCGAATTATCCCCCCCCCCATCGCTTTGCGAACATCAGCCAACTTGAGGAGTGACCCTGTTCTTTGTTTCTTAACTTTGAGTTGATATAGTTTATTTTCCGAATGTCGTTTACAAGCTGCATACATATATTTCCTGTGATCACTTTATCTAGTTACCTTAATTTGTGATCAACCTGTAAATCGTAATCTCAACTACTCTCGGATAGATATCAATAGACGAACGTTGCTTTAAAATGCTTGTCATGGAGGTGAGGCAGCGACTAGAGGTGCTGCTTCCCAGTTGCTCCTTTTTGACGATGAATTGAACAGTGCTCGTGGTATTCCATAGAAGCTCCTGAATTGAAGCCAGCGCACGGTGAAACAATTGATCAATGCTCTCTGCTGTTTCACCTGAACATATTTATATCAAATGCGTATTTCGAATTAGTATAATATCACTACATTATATAAACCAGAAGTTTGGTGTGTCGGTTTGTCGGTGTGTGTGTGCGTGTGTCGTTCTGTCCGTCCGGACCAACCGCTCACAAAACCAGGGAGTACGAAGGGCAACACTTCGTGATGTTGATGTCATGATCATGATAACACCCACAGCGGCTATATAAACACCGATCGAGCACACTCAGTCTCATTCTACATGGTGCTGCCGTGGCAGCCGGATGAGCGGGGGGGGGGGGGGGGGGGGGGTAGAGGGAAGGGGGCAAGAAAGGGGAGGCTGGAAGGGAGGGGAGGGGAGAGAGAGAAAGAGGGAGGGAAGGGGAGAGGAGAAAGGGAGGGAGAACATGGCGCTGTCATGCGCCGGAGAGGAGGGTATAAGGAGGGGGAGGTGGGGGAGGAGAGACTGAGAGAGAACGACCGTTTTAAGAGTAAGGTCTATATTCATGTTGACGTATTATTCTAACCTGATGTGGTGATTGTGATAACACCCACAATGGCTACAAAAACACCGAACGAGCACACTCAGCCTCATGGTGCTGCCGGGGCAGCCGGAGTCGGCGGGCGGTAGAGGGGAGGGGGAAAGAGGAGGGGGAGTGGGGGAGAGGGAAAGAGAGGGGGAACATGGTGCTGCTATGCGCTGGAGAGAAGGGGTATAAGGAGGTATAACACATTCAATAGTGAGGTGGTATTCCGTGGTTCCTCCCTACCCTTTGATGCGCGCGATAGCGGGCGGAGCAAACCTGGTCTAAACATAATCGAATTTCAGGGACAGAAGCGAGCTGTTCACTGGTCGTGTCGAAGAACGGTCACCTCTTCTATCTATAAAGTTGCCCGAGAAGTTCCTAAGGAAGCATTACTCCTCGAAACTCAATCTGGATTTCAACGTGAACAGGTGGGTTCTATCTGAAGGAATTGTACGTAAATCACTTCATTCCTTCTTTTTTCTTCTCCTTGCAATAAGAGCGCTACTGAACCTCCTTTTCATTGTACATAGAATACTGTGTCAAAGGTTCACTACTTGTTTAGATTAGTGAATACAAAGGACGTCGGTATGACACTGATGGACCTAGCTACCATGGGCTTTGAAACTACTCCAACGATTGAGCAGGAAGAGACACGTGAGCTTGCCTTCCTCACCTTTCATGACAGCTACCGAAATTGTAGAGGCAAATAATATAATATTTAGTCCAAGGAGCTTCATTCCTGAGAGCTGCGCATGCAGTTTATCGTTCATGCGATGACGCCAACATTCCTCCACATTCATGTCTTTGCATGGATGAGAAGACTCTGCTGTCCGAGCAGTACACCAAGTTTGTCTATTAAGATCATTATACCAGATCTAAGGGCGGAAGTGGTGTAGTGGCAAGTGGCGCGCTTACCACGCGAGCGGTCCGGGGATCAAATCCTGGGTCGTGAGTCGCCCGGGCCAACCAAGCCTTCCATCCCTCCGGGGTCGGTTAATTGGTACCAGACTTGGATAAAAACACTGACTTGTACATCGGCTGGCCCC